CCCCCCGCCGCAGCAAAATCCGAGGGGAAGCCGCGGCGTCCACGCCATACGCCGGGGCTGCTGCTGCGCGCTTTGGCGGGGGGCCCACGCCCCGCCCTGGCCTGGTACCTGTCCAGCAGTACACGCCAGCCTCGACCAGACTACGGTAAGCCGCACCACCTTTTACCAGCTGTCGGCAAAAGTGCAAGAGTAGCTTTGCCGAGACCGGGGCAAACTGCAGCCGAGTACAAAATGGTATGAAAGCGTTAACGTTCCGCATCGAAGAGAAATCGCATGAGTTTTAAAACAAGGGTTTGGATTACTGATGCCTCCAGAGTCTGTCGTCTGATTTAGTCATTTAAGAAATAATTACATCACTAATGTAAACAATATAAACATACCAAAAACTAAGTATGATTTAAATACATTTTGATGGTACAAAAGAAAAACCTGAAGGTGTCTGTACAGTTTTTTTTACAACGTGGGAATTGCCAATGTATTTACAACATCAAAGGGCAAATACCATTTTTGTGCAGAGTAAAATTATCTGAAATAATGTCAATATAAAAAACAATATCTAGCGGTGTGAGGCACTCCTAAACATGGTGGTATTAACCATGCTTTCCTTTGGTACAAGTCCCATCGCCTGGAGAGCCGCAGTTGCTGCTGTGGCTTTAGCGTGCTTCTTGTTAAGGCTGGCAAAAGTAGGCCTATACTCGTTTCCGTTGACTCTCACCTGTCCGTGAAAGAGGGGAAGGAAAAAAGAAAACGTTAGAAAGTGCCTCCTCACTTCACTTTCGCAGCGGCGCTACGGAGCGCCTCCAACCACATTCCCTAGGTGGCTCCTCTCGGGGCAGGCCAAAGCCACGTCTGCTCTGCAAACCGGAACTGCTAATCATAGAGTCACAGAATGGTTTGGGTTGGAAGGGCCCTTAAAGACCATCCAGTTCCAACCCCCCTGCCATGGGCAGGGACACCTTCCACTAGACCAGGTTGCTCAAAGCCTCATCCAGCCTGGCCTTGATGCAAGATGCCGCGTGACAAAGAACGCCCGCAGCGTGGGATGGCCAGAGGGCAAAAGTAACTACGTCTTGCTCGCTACCTTTACCACAGGAAGGCGTCACACCGCACACCTGCAAGTAACCGTCGAGAATATGGCAGATACTAAGATGAGTAACCACGTGGTAACAAGTGGGACAGTTCTTGAGGGATTTATAGGTTAACGTGCTTGATCCGATCTGGCCTTCACAGAGACAGGGCATGGGAATCTTAGCACCGAGACGCCGCTTAGCAGTCCCCAGCCACCCCTGCAGTGGCTTCTGTGTTTACACGCAAACGTACACGCGGATTTCCATCAGCTTTGACAGAGAAACCAAGGGCAAAGGAGGAAACTCGAATGCACCTTAAAGATAAAATGCTTGCGATGGTCAGGCCCACTATCATCCACCAACACAAATTCAGGTGGTGACCACCTTCTCTTGTTACAGATCTCCATCAACGCAGAAACCGGGTGTTTACCTTCAAGACAAAAGGTATTTGACATTTCAGTGCCACCAGCATTGTTTCAAATGAGACTTTCTTTCTTTTTTTAAGATGAGTAAGACTCTCACCTGAAAGATCCTTCATCACAACGTAATGTCCAGACCTCTTTTGTGCCTTCTCTCCCACAGCAACAAGCCCTAAACAGAACACAGGACAGTTTACGATTCCCACCTGATTTCTGCAATCACACGCATCAGTGGAGGCAAAACCTGCCGACCCCATGCGACTGCCTTCCCAGACGTCTTTCAAACCGCCTTCTCATCCAGCGTTTCCACCCCCCGCCCCCATACTCCACCTAACGTTCCTCTCAGCTGCTCTACCGAGACTCTTCACAAGCCAGGCAGCAGCCAACCCTCTGGCGCGAGGCAGGCAACGAGAGAGACACTTACACACATTCTCTCATTCGGCATGTGGTTTGTGCCACCCAAAAGTCACCCACCACCGTAAGGGTTTGCCTCTAACACACTAAGCAGTTGAAGTACTGCCATCAGGCAGTAAACGGTGTGCCCAGCACGTCCTTCCGTGATGCGAATTACACAGTGGGGTTCTTTTCACGTGTCCTCTCTTCCTTCAACAGGATTCACACGTTTATGTGCAGGGTCAAAGCCAGTTACTCCCATCACACCTGAATATAAAGCAGCAGAGCATGCAACTGGGTGACCCCCCCCCACCAGTGTACAGGGCACGAGTTCCAAAGGACATCACTGTGAAACACGGGAGCAGAACGTTTTCCTTTTCAGATCTTCCAAGAGTAAGAAACAAACCGTTAACAGTTGCCCAAAAAGGTATCAGACACCAGTAGCCACGCCATGCTTGTCAAGTGACTCAAGTTTCTTTCCATTCATTCTGCCATTACCTTAAACAGCCGTAAACAAAATACCTGATTGGTTTTGCAGAACTTCACAGACTTCAATCCTTCAATACCACTTTGTTTCTTACCTCGATTTGTTTCTGTTCCTGGCTTTGGTGAACAGAGACAGGGAGATACTGCAACTGTTTCCAGTTTCTTCCTGTTCCTTCAGCTTTTTTTGGTTGGCGTTTTGTTTTGCTTTAAAAGAAAACCCTTCCCTCCTTACCAGATTTTCATCCTAATATTCATGCAGCTCCTCAGCAGGGACTTTTACAGTGCCATAAAAACCCTCACAGGCAGCAATCGTTGAAACAAAGTTCCTGTGATGAGGTTTTTTCAACCCCCTTACAGAATTATATATCCAAAAAACCAAATATTTTCACCAAAGAAAAACACTCTGACGTCACTCTCCGCATTAGTGCTGTGTCTCCCTCACTCCAAGTCACCGACAGCTCTCCTCTGCATCTTGTCCCTGGTACCTCAAGAGGGGTTTTTTAAGAAGCTGCAAGGGACTCCGACATGCTCTGCTGATGGACCGACCAACCAACTAGCCTCCGGCAAGGGTTTCGTTTCAACGCCGGCTGTGTGAGAACTACCCATCTCTGAGTGTTTCTGGAAGGGACGAGATCCAAGGGAAACCTACGGCAAAGGCACACAGCCTTCGGGTTCTCACCGTAGTGCAGCCCACTGAGTCACGCTCTAGCAAACTGCTGGCTCCTGTATCTAGAAACAGTACTTTATCTGGGGAGAAGTTCTAAGAATGTGTTTAAAAACCCCTACAAAACAAAAATGGGTTACTTGCCTAATAAGAGACAGCCTCCCTTTAAAAATTTTGGACTTTTCTTTAAACCTCTACACAGAAATTCAAAATATTGACTTTCTTATATATTTAAGCATCAAAGAACACTGATGTTTAAAGAAGCTTTTCACAGCTACTTGTTGTAAATGTACAATCACTGCTCAGTTGCTTCTCTGGAAGGGCACAAAGCACGTAAGGCAAGCTGTCTCCCCCTGTTACAGACTTGGTTGGCTCCTCATGAAAAAGCATTCTTTGTAATGCCTTTAGATTTCTTTGTGGAAACAATCAGACAAGACTGCATATACAACAACAGTAAAATACTTTAACACTACTAAAGCAAAGCCCAGCCGTCGCTAAGGTCTGTCAGTATTTTCACTCCCTCCAACATTTCAGCTGTGACTGAGCGTTCTGAAGCAGGAAGTGCGAAGGACCTGTTACAGAACGCCCAGCACAATGAGGACCCGACCCTGTCTCAGGCCCTGGGGCTGGACCCTTCCAACTCCGGCCATCAAGCCCTGCAGGCATTAGGACATTCCTGTCTGCAGCCACACCGGGTTCCTGGGGCACGCTGCTAGAACCGGAGAATTGAGCGCTGAGACGGCTGCATACCACCAAGGTCTTTCAGGTTCGACACCTTCGCAGGCTGTTGCGGCAGCGCTGCCGCGTGCCCCGTGGCACAACAAGAAGCAAGCGACGCAGGGAACAGAGCTAACTTCTCCCTCCTCACCACAGAAGTCTCGCTGCGGTACGTAAGGCTGCTTGAGAAAACAACACCAAAGCTGACCCCTTTCAATTTCTTCCCTCTGACTGACACTCATCAAGCTCAGCTGAAGGAACTCTCGCCAGCAGCGAGAACTTCACAAAACAACAGCCACAAAGATCACAGTAACTAAGGACCAAAAAATACTGTTTTCAAAGATTGTCTTGGCAATCTCTGTCAACAGGCATCTTTTTTCCTTTTTTTTTTTTTCTTTCCTTTCTTTAAAGAGAAAGGTTGGGCAGAAGAAAACCAGCTGAAAACCAAGTTTGGTCATTGTTTGTATACAATGAAGATGTCTGTATCACTGTGCTCTGTACGGTGACACTGTGGCACCTCTTGAGTTCTAGAACCGTGTTATGCTGCCAGAAGATCTTTCGAATGCAGAAAGCAATGGCTTTTTTCATAACATCGGCTTGCTCTCTTGTTCTCGCCCTCTCTTTACTTAAAGAACTTAAGAATTCAAACGTTCTCACTGCTAGCTTTGTCACCTGAGCAGTACCAAACCGTCTCTGTACAGAGAACGAGCGATTTTAAACCTCGAAGATTCCTCCAACTCCTACAGCATCTCTGCACACAAACAGCACAACATCCGCATTCACAGGCTTTCTTTTCTTCCCAGCTCAGCTACGAGCACTGACAAAAGCTAATACAAATCCATCCTTCCAAGTATTTTCATAATTTTAGGTGTGAGCTACTTAATATATTAAAGGTTCCTGGATTTTAAAACAATATGTAGGAGAACAGCAATGCGAATTTGGTTTTCTGCAGCCAGTGTGACACTGTTTCCTTCAGTAGTATGCATATTACAACAACTGGATCATAAATCTTGACTGCTGAAATTCTGCATCTTGTATTTGAAATGGTTAGACCATGTGTAGCTATTCCAGATAGCACACTTCCAAAACATTCACTCAGGAAAAAAGACTGTCGCTGAACACACTGGCGAGGCGGCAATCACACACACCACGCTGCCACCTTACGCAGCGGCATGCTGCCTGTAAATGAAGAGATGGGTCTTTCAAATCAAATGGGACAAGTGCAACAGTTGCACCTGTGGCCACAGACGATACAGGAGAGGAGGAAAATCTACTAAAGCAACCTTCGAAAACAATCAGGGAAACATGACTGTAGTTGAGCAGAGGTGTCTGCAGCAGGGATCAAACTAGGAGAAGGATCAACAGGGAGATCAAATGGACAAAAAGAGAAACCATCCATTTGGAAGACCTAAAAACATCACTGTGACAGTCTACTCACTGCCAGGACTTCAACTGAAAGGCAGCAGTGACTCAGTTCTGTAGCTCTCACCTCTGTCCTTCACCCCAGTTTAAAACTCATCCAACTATCCAATCTTCCATCCTGCCCCATTCCTGAGACCAACCACAATAGCTTTTCCACAATCTACTTCCCTGTCCATGCCTTCTCCACACACCCAGCTGAAGCATATCCCTACCTTTAAGAACTGCTTTTTTAAAGTGGGAGGTGAGGGAAAGTTAAAGAACGTCTGTAAGAGTTCAGAGGCATAAGGACAAAGACTACGTACGTACGCCAAGGCTTGAAAAACTAGTACCAAAGTCATCTACATCATTCCGTTAATTCTTACGGTGAAGCTGAGCCCAGAAAAAGCTTACTAAGCCAAAATAACTTGGAATATCTCCAAAACAGATGTGAGATGTTTATGCTGCCGTAGGACATTTTAAGCAGGGCTTACCTTTCCGATCCGTCTTAAAATCGACCATAATAGGCTCAACGCTGCCTTCTTTGTTTTTTCCAAGTCCTTCTCCTTCTCTCCAGCCCATTTTTCTCATCAGTTGAGCTCCCATTCCTCCAGTTACAGGGGCTGCTCTTAAGAACTGATCCTATCCAGAAAAAGAAAAGTAAAACAAGTCCTAAAGTTAGCACCGGGATTTTAAAAAGTAAGTGGGAGCTTCCAAAAAATGTTTCTAACAACATTTCACAGACTCAAATAAAAAAAAAAAAAATACACCTCAGCTTTATGTATGTTACATCTTGTATAAACCGGAATTCACGCAGGCACACGAGACACAAATCAGTATTTTCAAAAAACAACAACTTAAGAAAATTCTAATGCAATCCAAAAGTGGCAAGTGACCCATTTCAGACATCTGTATTTAATAAAATGATAACCGTCCGTTTTTAAACACGCTACTTTGGTTCCAATGCATCTCTTCTCAGCTCGTGAAAGGAGGCAGTGTTAACTGTTTAACTGGCAACATGTGTGCCAAGTGTACCTAGTTGTTGAACAAAATACAAGCACATTTAGTAATGACATTCACAAAGTGTTTAGGCGTATTTTAAATTAAAAAAAAAAAAATCCCCACTTTTTATTATACAGCAGTTGCACATTCAAGTTCTACTCTGAAAATCCACATGAAACATACAGGTCTCTTTTTTTTAAACGGAAAAAAGGCGCTTAGCCACACAGTTTAGCAGCAGTAGTCTTCACATTCTTTCAAATCATCATTAACATAACAGCTGTTAAATGGTGAAAGCTTACAAACAGAAATCTTAAAAATCTGTTTTGATGTAAAGAACTTTAAAAACTCCTTAAATGTTTACGTACCTAGGCCTCGATGGCCGCAGTGTTGTGAATAGTAGGGCTGGCATTGACCGTGGCAAGAAGGCAGCTACAAGGATTTGACCCTGAAACAAGTTTCCATATAGAGGGGTGAAAGTTCACAGGTTATTCTGTGAACTATCATCTCTCTTCTGCCCCCCCCACTGACCCAAGTAAGTAAGTCAATCATTTCCATCACAGCAAAAAATTGCTTGCCTTAAAATACACAAGTTTACACACTGGCACTGATAAGTCCATCGGTTATTCCGCACAGTAGGTTAGATGATACAATGCCTAGTAGTTTTGTGAAAGTTTCACTTACTATCAAAGCAAATTAATAGAACAAGGTTTGGGTTTTTGGGGGGTTTTTGTTTGCTTGTTTTTTTCCCTTTATTTTGAGCTGTGCTTGCAAAAGTAAGCATTTCCCAGGTTTGGACAAAGGATGTATAGCTCCTTGGTTTCGATCCGTATGTAAACAAAACCAGAAGTCTTACTTTTGCAGAGACTAAGGAGAATGTGTTTTTAAGGGGATTCCAAACTGGCAACCGACACATGCTAATGACGCACGTGTGCACGATCCCCACTATGCATGGTGTTAAAAAAATTAACAAAAATTAATTGCTGAAGATTGTGGCAGGACTTCTCCAAATATTTACCTCTTAAACAGTAAATACCTATCAATCATACAACGGGATGCTGCATTCAACAACACAGTGCTCTGATGGAAGAATAGGGAGGTTACGTGCACCACCCCTGTCCAACTCTTTCCGAGTGGTGCAGACCATGCAGTGTGTGTGTGTGTGTGTGTGCACAGAGACAATCAGTTTCTTCGATACGAACTGCCTCAAGCTACACACCTAGAACGGCTTTTACTTACTTCCGTTTTCATCCTCCCCTCTCTTTTCCAGGAACCTCTCATAAGAAAAGGGCAACCATGCCGAGAATGATACAAACCCCAGTCAATGTCACCCTGGGTTCCGATTCCTCTTTTGTACCTGCTTTGCAATGATAGAATTTTCAATGTAACACACCTGTTTCACTATCACCAGCGTGTATTCAGTTCACAACAGAGAGCGTGCAATTTCTCGGTGAGGTCATCTCAGTGTTACGCAGCTTTCTCATCACACCTCTAAATGTACTAACTGGGGGATTAGGAGTGGTGTAGAAAGGACAAAACAGAATCCAAATACTGCTATTCGCAGTTAAAAATCAAAGCCACGGTTCTTCTATAGGAATTTCCAGTGCCTGAACAAATTCCAAACACTGGAATTTAAAAGAGCTTAAATTGCAAAGTGGGGTTTATTAAAAACGCCCCTTCTTGTGTGTGAATGCAGAACCCTCTCTGATAACATTAGTACAAGTTTTTTTGCACTATGCTGACTCTTAGAATCTGGACAAAAAGGAATCCGAAATGCCAGTCTTGTTTCATTACAGAACAGCTGTACTTGTGCATCACACTAGAAGGCTCAATGAAGGAGTTCTGGTACCAGTGCGAGAGGGGCCAGGAGAAGCCTACTTGGATTCAGTTTACTGAAAAAACAAAGGCCTGCAGCAGGGGAAGAAGTTCCTCTTGCTCTGTGGTTTTGCCTGGCTTTGGTTTTAAATAATAAACAATGTACACCTCTAATGTCACCTGGACAGTTCTATTCTCTTTAACCATTGTTTTTTACAGACAGACAGCTTCACTCAGCCCATAATTTAACAGAGTACGGGTAAAAGCTAGCACGGATCCGGCCCATCTGGAGAATATCAAATTGAAGAGTATGTAACACAATAAACCCCCAAGTTGCTAAGTATTTGATGTTGGCAGAATTGACTAATTAGTTACAAAGTAATTGCTCATTTTCATTTACTAATCTGAATTTGAGTAAGTCTGTATGAGAATTTGGTATCGTTGTTCTCATCTTTTGCTCTGAAGTCCGTGAAAGGTCAGACAACTGACACACACTCCCATTCTGCCAGCAGATGGAGGCAACTAGTAAGCCACATCCTTATGCCAACACTTTTTCTTTCAAAAGAAGGCTACATAGTAAGCCCTGATCGCTAAAGAGGGGTTTTTTAAGTCATTTTAATTAAAACTATTCCACTCTTAAAGCTGCATTAGGGCGCCAAACTTTGGGGGACATGAATGCCTGAATTAGCATTTAAAGGCTTAAGCAAGCAAACACACCCCAAAACAAAAATCATACCTGAAAAGGTGATTTTTAAAGATTTTTTGGTGAAACAACACAGAAGTTGGAAGTAAGTCATCGTTGTTTAACTGCAACCGCTGTCTTTGGGAAAGGACAGCAAAACAGCACTGAACCAAAAAAAACCCCCACATCTATAAAACAGCACCTAAACATTTAAAGTATTGAAGACACAATTATTTGAGAGATCTTAAAACACATCATCAATTTCTGCTCTCACAAAAGAAAACACCCATTCCTTCTCAAAAGGCTGACATGGCACTGCAACCTAAGTTCTGTCAGAAGGAGAGTTTATTTCTTCTGAACAGTAACTCATTAAGCACAAGACAACAAAGCTGTAAAGGCACTGGGTGGACAAGCTCCACCACAGCGAGCTGTCTGAAAGACAGGACTAACTTATGGCTGAAGAATTGTCCTGAGTCGAGTACCAGAACAAGCATCTGCCTTTGGCAAAACTTCTACAAAACAGCTGAATTTTCCATTAAGTGCCCTGGCACTTTCAGCAGCTACCACATTCCTTCCCCAGTACAAGGGGAAGAATGCCTTCTGAAGAATTCCCATCAAACACACCTTTTGAGGGCTGAAGAGGGAGCCAGTCCCACATAACTAACATACAGGCAATTTGCCTTGCCATGTGGCCTTCATTTCCAAGGAAAAGCTCATTGTGGCATGTAAGGCAATAGGAATAGAAGTACTGTGGTGAAGTAGCCTTGTCAGAAGGTCAGCAGTCCTTGTGCAAGTGACCATCACAAGACTGAGTTTTACCTCCATCGGGAGTGTGAGTTTCACTCATCTGCTATGACTGTGGAAGAATCACAGCATCATGGAATGGTTTGGGGTGGAAGAGACCTCAAAGCCCATCTAGTCCCAACCCCCCTGCCATGGGCAGGGACACCTTCCACTAGACCAGGTTGCTCCAAGCCTCATCCAGCCTGGCCTTGAACACTTCCAGGGATGGGGCATCCCCAGCTTCTCTGGGCAACCTGTGCCAGTGCCTCACCACCCGCTCCGGGAAGAACTTCTTCCTGATACCCAATCTAACCCTCCCTGCTTTCAATTTAAACCTGTTACCCCTTGTCCTGTCACTACAGGCCCTTGTAAAAAGTCCCCCCCAGCTTCTTTGTAGGCCCTTCAGGTACTGGAAGGCTGCAATACGTTCTCCCCAGAGCCTTCTCTTCTCCAGGCTGGAAGAAAGCTTTAACTCTTCAGAACCTGCTACACAAAGCAGAGCATTCTAACAGCCACCGGAAAACTGTGTGTCATGCTTTAGCACAACTGAATGAAACAGATCCCAAGCACTGCCCTGTGTACATAAAATGTTGCAAAAACCTTGTTTTGGAGAGCAAGTTTAGGCTCTGGAATGAAGCTGGTAAATCCAGAAACAAGTGGTGAGCCTGGGAAAACCTGAGTAAGCAGACCTCAACAGAATTTGCTTGGGAAAAAAATATTTGATCACTTCCTCTGATCTGACATCTATTCAGCAGCATAGTGTATTTGTAAGAAAAAACTGAAGAAACCAAAAAGAAGTGACCTCCAGAAGAAGTCAGTCGTATTTGTGAACTGATTACACCAGTATGATAAACTGAAACAGAAACCACTTTTCAAAAGAAATAAATCTGGTTTAATGACACAAGAAACCTAACAACACATTTCCTTTAGGAATACTGCTCAGAGCCCTACGCATGAACATCATGAATTAGCATATTACTTAGAAAAACGAACCGCGCTTCTAATTGGTACATCGATCACTCAAGTACGCCACATTCACCAGTTCAGTAACTGATTCCCTCAAACGCAGACAGAATTGAAACTGCTGGCATGTTTTGGTTTGAGTACATATTACCTCTCCAGAGTAATTTTTAAAGTACAAAAAAAGGAAGCTGAAATCCAAGAAATGCAAAGTGAAGACAGCGCTTACCAAACAAGTGCCCCGTGTACTGTAATTTTCCTCCCTTCCCCACACTGCTCTTCTGTTCACCTATCTAGTTTCAGGATCAGCTCCGTCAAGCGCAACGTCTGTAGGTGTTCTAACCCCTTGTTTAGTGATACACAGAGAGCTAGCTGACACGGGCTCTGTTTCTGCTCAACAGTGCAAGTTCCAGAGTCCTCTTAAGGCAATTGCTCATGGCAACCTCCCAAGCAAAATGCCTTCAGGAAACGACATCTTTGGTCAGAAACCTGCATTTGTTTACACACGCAACATACCCCAGGAAATCCCGCAGCCCTACCAGCAGTTGAAAAAATAAAATACACTAGGGGCTTTTTTAATGTTAAAATGCATTTTCTTAGGACAAAAAAAGGGAGTACCAGTCTGACTTCAGTGCTACATTGCATAATTAACAGGAACTAAGTTACACAACTCCAAGTGCCCGAGTAAAATACAACCTGTACTTTGCATTTCGTGGTTGGTTCGCATTCGTGTCACTGAGAAAGATAACATGCATTCATAACCCATTTGCCCTACTTCAGTCTTTTCTGTGAAATCATTCTCTAACCACAGGGTGTGACTTCACAGTAAGTTCATCAACCCCCAATTTTGTGCAGGCTTCCACAGACCCCACCATTTCTAAAAACCACAGGGCAAGTCTTGTGTAGCCCCTAACCCACTTTGTAGAGGGCGCGTGACTGTCACTACTTGTCATCTCGTGAGTCTGATGGCAATGTGCGTGTGAATATGGAACCTGGAAAGAGCAAAAGAAGTCAAGCTGAGGAATGCCAGCGCAGGAAGGAGGACCGTGTCCTCATCTTCACCCAACAACTCTTCTTGTTTTCAGTAGCAGCCTCCTTTCTGACAAACCACGTGATGCTTGCAGGGAGGACGCCTACTACTGCAAACCACTACATTTTTACAGCTAGAGGAAGGACAGAAGGGCTTCTGCCCGCTTCCTTTTAGTTCTAGATTCAACAGAATACTCCAATATGCTTCTTGCTCCTCACAGCAGTTATGTCCACAAGCCAGAGACCAGACTCTTCTCTCATTTTCTCTCTATAAAGTGTTTTCTTGGGTTTTTTTGTTCGTGGTTAGTTAAAGACAGAGTGAAAACACACTTGCCTTCTCCACTTCATCTCTGTTTGCAGACACTCCTGTTACTGTAAGGCACAGAAGACCACCACAGAACCTCAAGGAATGAAAACTGGGCAAGAAGAGGAGGCTCGGGAAAGATGATCAGGGATGCTCCCTTTCTGTTGCCTTGGGAAGCCACTCAAGGTACACAGAAAGGGAGAATCCTCCTAGGCTTGCCAACCTCTTTCCCAAGCCTCATGGTGGAAAAAGCTCTCCTTTTGTCACCAACACATCCCTGCTGAGCGCTTTATATTTCTAAGTTCCTCTGCCAGGGACAATTATTGTAAACATCAAAGTTGACATTTTGCTACAATCTCAAAAGTTAGTTATAGTTAAAATACAACTTGATCATCTACACTTTACATTAATGCTGAGAAGAGTGCAGGAGACTCCCATCGAGCATGTAACCTGCATCTCTGTGCTGCCTGGCTCTCTGTAATGCTTGGCTTTATGAAGTGGAAAAACAAGATAGCGAATATCGGCAAAAATATTTCTATTTTTAGGATGCTGTAATTCCAGGCTTTTGTGTTCAGTTTACACCAAGTTTTATGGAAAATTCTACCTAAGCCTCAAGCCCACCTCACCAGTTTTGAGGGCTGACTTAACGCTGTGTTCTGGAAGGACGGGCAGATACAGCATATACTCGACTACGTCACTTGCAAGATTGAGCGCCATAGCTCGTTATTCTTTTTGCCTGAAAGGTGGATATTGCTTGAATTCCTCAGTTCTACTTCTTGAAAGAGAACCAGTTCAGTATTCATTTTCAAGGATGAAGGATGAATTATTATTAAACTTACAAAACTTGTGTATGTATGACGCACGACACCTCAAAAATAAGCCAGTATTACCAGTAACTATTTCACTGCAAGATGGCATTAAACTTCTTAACCCAACTGCAACCCCTGGTTTAGTGCTCCACCAAATCTCTGGCTCCCAGAAAACCCTTGTGATACAAGTAGAGGCAAAGTAGCAATCAGAGAGAACCAAGTCAAACAAAATGGCAGTTTGGGGCTTGGTTCGCTGAAGTTGATGCCAAAACAAGACTGACTTCAATAACACGAGGATCAAACCTTGCCTGATCTGTCCCAGTCCTGTAAAAGTAGTGATGGACCTACCACTGCAACCACACCAGTATCACAAATGTCATTTTGGTGTAAGGTAACAGTATATACGAACCGATCTGACTCAAATACCAGACGCACACCTTCTTGAAGCATTCTATGTCATGAGCAACACCTTAAGGCACAACAAAATGGACACAGCAGCAGCAAGTATCTAAGTTGATGAAGGATAACGATTCAACTCAACCTGTGGTACTTCACACATGCATTACCATAGGTTTTTAAGGCACATTTTTTGCATTTTCCGATACTTCCACTGCTATTTAAAATGCGACAGTTAGACAAGTATGTCTGCGTAACTTCTACCTTTCTAATCCATGCTTGGGGACCACTGTTGGTCAGCTCATCTGAGGACAGGATCTGTGCTCCAGTACTTCCTGTGAACTGGCCAGGTATGGAGTTTGATTGAGCCCAGGCGTCAATCTACAAAAGAAAAATCAAATGTAAGACCAAAATAAAGATTTGCATGTTTTTCCTTTGCAATTCTCTGTTGCTTCTCAAAAATTTTCGTAGTGGTTCCTCACTTACGTTTAGTGCTGTGCTCATTAACACTCATTTCTACACAGATGCTCCAAAAGCTGAGCAGCTTTCTATGTTAACCCTAAAGCTTGAGCTCAGTCTAGAGAGTTCATGGCTCATGGTTTCCTTACCCTCAAAATCGGTGTTACTGAGTGCAAAATAAAGGCAGAATTTTTAAACATATGCCTAAAAAACCGGGCTTCCAAAAACCTGTACTTATAACAGTAAGAAAAATCAGCTGTAATGAAAGGTAAACATTTAAAGTTCATCAAACGCTGATGAAAAAAATGCAACATACCTGTTCTTGTGCACGATTTAACATGCACATGGCCTCTAAATCAAATGAGTTTTCATTAAGCCTTTTCTGAGCCACTGCTCGATCATTCATAGCTGTAGTTATGTCCACACCCTGGGAAGAAAAAGATTGTTTTTAAAAATACATCAGAACCCAGTAATATTCATTTGATCTGGAAAAAGTTGGTGTGGAATAAATGCTACAAATACTACAAAGCTGGTTTACACACTGAATAGTTGGTTTGATATATAAATAGGCAACGTGAAAACCATCCTGGGACTGCTTGTTAAGTACACACAGTACGGGCTTCCCTAAACAAATACAAAATCTGAAGTTAAAGTGTAGCATGCTGGTAATTTAGTATCACCTGTACGTACAGAATATCGAAAGAATTATTTTCAGAGAACTGTTCTGGTCACAAAAGTTCTGGTCTACAATATTTAAACAGAGAAGCATACTGTTGTTTAATTGTATCTTATTAATCAAAAGAATTAAATGTAATTTAGCCAAGAATTAAAAAAAAAAAAAAACAAACCCAAAAAAACCAGCCTTTCTACAGAGCTGTTCACATGAGCACCCTACTATTAAGTCACCCTAAAAAGTCAAGTTTTACCTATAAAAAGTTA